GCGGCATCGTGTGAGTAAAGACCGTGTTTGGTGGGAGTAACGGACGCTGCAAAGTATAAGACTACAGAATAGGGGAGGAGATTATTGATTTTTTTGGGTTTAAGATACTATCGGGGGGGGGGGGGGGGGGGGGGAGTTAAAGCAACACCAGAGGACAAAAACTTGGAAGCGCTTTTCAGAATTTTTATTTACGCTTTTCCGTAAAGCGCGCTTGAGGGCGGGCGTGGTTGGAATCCGGACCCGCCTTACTTTGCAAGTCTGTGTTATTGAAATAAAGTGTTCGCGTTTCATTTGATGTGTGGAAGTAATTATACCTACTTGGATGGGTGATAGTAAATTATACCTACCTACATTACATCTACTTGATGGGTGATAGTAAATTATACCTACGGTGTATGTTGTAGCTTTTTGTTCAAGACTGGCAGATTTTCAGTGTCACTGCATCTTGCCCTCCCACAGTTGTTACAACTCACACAGTGCACGGGTCTACTTGAGCCTTTCAAGTTATTGCTGTTCTCTGAGTTTGAGCAATAATTTGAGTCTGTCAGTTCATAAATGAATCATGACACCCAGACTGGTTCTTGATAGTCGAAATTCTTGTTCTAGGCCCTTCCGAACTCTCAAAGCAGGATTCATTTTTTATATTATAATGAGAGGAAAATATATAATAGATTGAAATACTTAAGTCAAACAAGACCCCTGTACGACCTTGAACAGTGACATGTTGTTGACTGCATACATATATATTGTACGCGTGTGTGCTCCCTTTTTCGAGCTGGTGAGCTAGTAATTTTTACTATTACTAGTTGGTCGGTCGTGGGGAATACACATTTTCCCCTGAAAATACACATTTTCATATTTCCCAATACTCATTTCGGTTTTCTGTGGTTGGCATCTCTGCAATGAACGAGGCAGGGAAGGCACTGCAGTTTGCAAGAGAGATGGAGGCCTACCAACTGGACATATTGGGTCTCTGTGAGACGAGATGGACGAATGCAAGGGAGTGCTAACTTGCTTCAGGGGAAACAGTTCTTTACTCTGGACATCTGGAGGAAAACTCGCCGCATACAGGAGTAGACGTCCTTGAGTTCATTTTTGCCGGTCGCGATTGTGATATAATTATTATAATATATAATTCATTCGGCTTTTCCCGGCCTGAGAGTACGTTACACGCGCACAGGCGGTTATGGCGGGAACAAGTGGAAGTGTGTGTGTGATACCGAAGCTCGATCGGGAAAATTGAGATCTACTTTCGCTTTCGTTACCACCCAGAAGTTTGCCAGTAGGGCCTATAGTAGTTTGATAGCGCCACATTTGTAACATGCAGGTTCCGCATTACAAACGCTGTGTCGCCATGAAAATAATTAGTTTGTCCTGTGCTGTCACTTGTGGAAAAAAAAAAGAAAAAAAGTTATACAAACTTCTTGTCGGGCTCGCCGTCATGACCGGTCATTGAACCTGTGCGTTTTCGTCACATGGTGAGTATCAGCGATGGTTGAGGTCACCAAAGTTCATGCTAAGTCTGAGCGCTGCGAAGTACAGTAGTCTCCGCCTAAGATCCCACCACTTACGATCCCGATTCGCTTAAGATCCCGCTGTTTTAAGAAAACAGAATTTTTACTAAATACAAAAGTCACACCTAAGATCCCGCTCTGATTCACTCTGAAGGTCTCACGGCAGCGCTTTTCGCCCGATTCTGTTACTTGTAGTTAACGTGACTCAGCAGCCCGCCGGAGCTCCCCGGCTCGGGGTCACGGGTTTCATGAACCCTGAAGCGAATTTGCCAGTGTTGGTCAGGAAGTTCGCATTTTTGACTCTATGTTTAAAACGATATAATTATAACTTCTTCCCCATCCCACACAGCAAACCATTTAAATGCGGATGTACTAAAAGCACAATGTCTTGAGATTTATTCTGCGTTAGAATGGTTAATTTCTGTGCCTTGGTTTTTGTTCTAGACAAGTGTTTGTAGAGTACCCAATTTGTCCTATTTTAGTTACAAACTTATGAATAAATGATTGTTAATTTTGAAAAGGCTCGACAGATCTTTCCAAAATCTGTGTTAAACTGACTACGAATATCATGTCTTTTACTATGAGAAATCTTAAATCTGCGCGAGTAGAAATAGTCAAGTTATAAGAGAAGAAAGATGCACATCTGCATTTTTTAACTAAAGACGATCAGCGTTAGCTCTTATTTTACTATTATGCAAGAGAAAGTTACTCTGCGTTTGTTAATGAATCATGCTGCCTGCATACAACTAAAAAGATATAATATAAGCGATTAAAAAAACCCACAAAACTGTGCAAATACATGGGTAGAGATAAACTTCTTGTATGGAATAAAAATAATGACAGCTAAAACATTCATTCTTATTTTTGTGTAGGAAATATGCTCGGACACAATATGAATGTAAAGAAATCAGTCACATTGTCAGTTATTGCAAATGGTCATAGAAATGAAAAAAAAAAGCTGGGAAAGTCTGGTGCTGATTCAGTGTCCCTGGAAAGCTAGAAATTATTCTTATAACCCAATTACGAGAAGTCATCCCTATTATTCAGTCAACTTACAAAACCTAGACTTAGCGTTTTAAGAAAAGTAAGGAATTTCTGGTGTGTAACAGATACTGTTCGAGTATTAGATCTACGTTGAAGATGTATTCTAGCACTAAAATCGATTTGTACTTTTAATAGAGAAACTTCATGGTAAATCTAACTTTTATAAACTTTCGAGAAAACATGCGAATATTCACGAATAAATATTAGACACATAAAGTTGTATTTGGAGTAATTACTTCATAGCGAATTGTGTGCCCGATGGATAAAATTGCAAAATTACAGCCTTCTATTATGTATGCGCAGATACCATCTTTTCTGATATCTGCACCATTGTTATGTCGTTCATGTTCCAAAAGTTCGACAGATTTTGACAAGGTCTTTTTTTTATACTGATTTTTTTTCATTCACGCTAGTCCAAAAAAAAATACAATTTAGCATTGCCGACTCCAGCGCGTCTAACGAAATAACCAGACAAGTTACAACGTCCGTTCTTTTTTGAGTCTCAAGAGCAGAAATGCGTGCTTTGGGTGCACTAAATGAGAATTACCATAAATACAAGGATACACCTTAAATTGTACGTTGAAAAGTACCAAAAATTAAGTCTGCCCAGACAGAGCGGCGACAGGGAGCTGACCCCCGACGGGATCGCACCGGGGTGTGAACTGACCGACGCGTTTGTTTTTCCCCACGCATCGCACTCACACATGAGCTCTCCCCATAAACTTACATCACTCGCTGGGTGGATAGGGCATAAACTATACGTTCTTATACTGACCGTCTAGGGCCTACACGTTCGTTCCAGGCGGGATCACATCGAACCGTGAACTCTTCCCTGACCATTGCAGTAGACGTTGATTGCAGCAGTTGTCTCTACGCCAGAATTTGCTAGACAGACTGAATTTTAATTGGTGTGTTCACGATGTAATGGTGTGTAACGACAAAAGCGTTTGGGGAGGGGGGGGGGGAAACTCGGTCAGAGATGGAAAGCTATAAATTTTCGCCAGGTAAAGGGGAGGGGCAACTGAATAAGCGTAGATCTTAAGACTCATGATAGGATGATAAGTGAAAATGGCAGGCCTCATGACAATATGCACTGTGATAGGCCATCAAGGTTGACCACTCTTTGCTCGCCATATGTCATAAACCCACCAAGGGGTCACGTCAGTTCATTTTAGGGTGGAGGGAGACTTTTTTTTAACCGATTGTAAGCCTTAACATGGGCCCCCATAGATTCTTCCCTGGGATCGTCGGATAAGATCCCGGTTCGTCTAAGATCCCGGTTCGCCTAAGATCCCGCATTTCTTTGCTCCCGAGCACTGGTATCTTAGGCAGAGACTACTGTATAGGACTCGGGAATGGGGGGTATTGATTTTTTTTAAATGACAAGGTTGAAGGCAACACCGGATGATAAAAAGTGAACTTGGAAGCAGATTTCACTTTTCAGAATTTTGATAACTACTATCTAGAGCTCTCTTCACAGCGCGCGTAGGTTCAGGCCTTGTGTGGAATCGAGATCTGCCATACTCAAACCTTGTTTAGCCGTGTTTTTGTAATCAAAGGGTTCCCGTTTCATTGATTGTATATTGTATATTTTAGCTTTCTGTTCAAGATTCGCAGATTTTCAGTGTCACTGCATCTTGCCCTCCCACAGTTAGTTCTTACACCTCTCATACTGAATAGATCTACTTGAGCCATTCATGTTATTACTCTACTTTGAGTTAGAGCAATAATTTTTGTCTTTCACGTTTATTTGATAAACCTTGACACCCTAAACTGG